TGTAGAGATCTTCTTCATCCAGACTCTCGATGTTATTCCCATTGAGCATCTTGATTCCTTCCGCTTTCATTATTTTTCCCCTGTGGATGGTCAGGGTGGCCCATTTGTCCAGTCCAAAGTCCATTGCAGTATCTTGGCTGTATGTTTGGACCGTGTTGAGCAGTGATTCCATTTCAGTTGGTGTTTTTCTATAGAGCTTCAGATTGTCCATGCAAAAGAGGTGGGATAACCTGGCAGACATTTTTGATGTTTGACAGCCATGGCCTGACTTGTTCGGTATTGTTGACAGAGGAATCAGTGCAATGACAAACAGCAGTGGTGATAGTGAGTCCCCCTGAGCGATTCCTCTCTTGATGTTAACCTCTCCCAGTCTATTACCACCGACCATCAATAATAGTAGTAGTAGTAGTTGTTATCATCATCATCATCATCTCATCCTGCCAGCCTACTCAAGGTGGCGAACATATCTAATGCTTCCTACCTAATGTTGTTTTCCCACAGCACCAACCCTGTGAGGTGGGTGGGCTGAGAGAGAGGGACTGGCCCAAAGTCACCCAGCTGGCTTTCATGCCTAAATGAGACCACAACTCACAGTCTCCTGGTCTCTAGGCTATTACCTTAACTGCTACACCAAACTGGCTCTCCTTAGGGTCCCCTTATCCTATATTCATGCCTTTTATTTTTCTGACTCAAATAAAGGACTTTTCATTTACCTCTGTTGAAAATAATCTGGCTGGGTTCTGCCCATTGTTCCAGATTGCTAAGATCCCTTGGTTCCTCCTCTCCCCAAACACTTTCTATACTAGCTGATCGCTCTGAAAACTGCAGGCTGAGTATGTTTTTAGGCCTGGAGGGATGGCGTAAGATGTCCCTTATAGAAGAGAATTTTCCTTCTTTCTCCCCCACTCCATCATTAATACCGTAAGGCCCTTCCCCGCCCCCAAGCCTTTGATTATGTTGCACTCTGAGTATTTCAGTTTGTTGATATTTAGATCATAGCTGTCTTTGAACTAAATGGGGCATTTCTCATTGAGGGAGGAAGGACAGCCTACAGTTCCTCTCCTCCAGGGCACGGTGTCGTCTCCTGATTCAGCAGGCATTTTTGGAATGCCGTGCTTTCAAACGCAAGTAACTTCTGGTGGAATCTCTGGTGTGTAACGCGAGGTATTATGCCTGTCTAGCAGATCCTTGATGAAGCCTGAAAAACAGTGGAAGGAATGCCAGATTTGGGGGAGTCTAGAAATGCCTGACTTGGGGGAGCTCGTTTTATATTCAGGAAATCGCAGGTGGTGACTGCTCTGTAAACCTAACAAACGTTGCTTGGACATGTAAAAAGTAAAGAAGAGCAAGGAAAAATTGAGATGAGTTGCTTTAGTGATCATTTTGTGAGTGATAAATGAACTGTCATGTTTAACTACTTACCCAGTTCAAGGAAGGGGGTAGAATAGCTGGCTTTGAGTAAAATCAGTGAATAATAGTTCTAACAGCGCTGCCCTTCCTGACTTGGTGTCCTTGCTTCTCCAAGACAGCTGTCCAGGTGGTTTGGGGGGCAGCCTAAACCGGGATACCGAGTGAGCTTCAAATAGTTTATTTTCAAGGGGGTCATGCCAGCTGCGTGAAAGGAGCTCTGCCTTTTCTCATGCTCAAGGAGAGAGAACGTTGCTGCTGGTCACCATTTGTCCGTGCTAATTGGCACCAGGGGGTGTACAGAACAACACAGTGGCAAGGCATGGGACAACTGACAGGTGTGGCAGAGACTGCAGCCACAGCGACACCTTTTACTGTTTCATAGCAGGCAGCATATTTTTGCTTTTATTAACCATTGAATTTATTATTAATAATGATAAGTAGCTTTATTTTAATTATTTTGTTAATTTTATTAATATCTTTATGAGCAATGAATAAATATTAATATTTGTTGCATTTTTGCATGCGTATGAAGGTGGCCCTCCATTTAGTGCATTTTAGGCCACATGGTTCCCTGCAATAATGCCCCCACTTTGAGGTGGTGCTTAATAACATCAGCTACCTAATACTGTCCATTAGCTCTCAGGCTTTCTTTTTTTTTAGTTGTAGCCATAAACATCTAATCTTACCTTCCCCCTCTGGAAAGAGCAGCTCTTGCTAGTTTCTTCCTGGGGGCCATCACGTTGGGGCCTGGCACTGACCTTGCGCACCAGGCTCCAGGCAGCCTCACATTTCCACCTTGCGAGGGGATACCAGTCTTCCTGGAGCGGGTCCATAGTGCAGGGAGGACACAGCTCCTGGGTCCCCTGCGTAGCTGGTTCAGTCCCAACAGTTGCAAAGGCTACCTACATCTAGGCAGGGTGCGGCCCCCCAGAGAGTCACATCCCACACTGTGAGACCCCCTTCCATAGCCGTTAATATAGTAACCAAAAGCTTCAAAACATATAAATGCCCTTCTTAGAAAAATGAATTTTTGTTTGTATTTGATGGGAGGCAAGACCTGCCCTAAAGGGACTGTGGGCATTTGACCTATGAAAGCTTTGTGAGTCCCTGGTTTGGCCTATCTCCGTTCTTTTGGATAGAGCAGTAAAGAACTGCAATCTCTTCTGCCAAAAATGCAGGGATGTATTTAATTAAAAAATGGTTTCAGATGATGAAATATACTGTTACATTGGCATAAACATTTCAAATGGGTTGTTAATGAAATCACCATGTGTCAGCAGTGGTTTCAAACTCCACAATTCATTTCCTTGGATCCTAGAACAAGCTGATGGCGTGGGCCCGAGTCACCTTTGTCAAAGGTGGCATTAGTTCTCAAAGTGAACTACAGCTTTCAGAAAGGTCTGGCCTTGCCAAAGAAATGTGAAGCTCCTTTTTGAATCTCTTCTCTTTATCCACGTGCCACCCTACTGGAATACCTATTGGACCAGAAGGGATAATAATGTGGTTCCTAAGTCGCCTTGCAGTAGTTTCACTACTACTTCTTCCCTGCCTTTTCATCTAAGGGTGTGGAGCAAGTATGCTTGGTGTTTCTGTGCCAAAGTCCATCCAAGTGGTACCCAAAATCCAATCCTTGGAGCAAGACTTTGGGAAGGGAGACATTTTTTTAAAATTCTTAATACGGGTGTATAAAACGTTCCCAGTCTAGAAAACTAACCATTCCTCCTTGCATCGTTCTGAAAGCTGCCAAGGTTGAGAAACACTGGTCTAGGAAGATAAAGTTTATTACTGTACTGCATCAAACCTCTGTACATATCACTGATCTGGGGATTCTTTTTATATAGTTCTTCCCAATATTCATGCCATCTCTATTCACGCCATCTCACTTTAAATCTTTCTTCAGTAGAGCAAGCCTTTGTTTTTTGTTTTTTTTAACATGCTCGTATTTGCATAAAACTGTCCTTGGTTTCTCTACTTAAAAAAAAATCTCTTATTCCCATTAGAAAAACGTCCTCCATTCCTGTGCATCAGTAATTTAGATCTAATTCCTCTTCTTGCTCTCCTCTGGAACTGCATATTTAGTCTGGCCAATTTTCCTCTGTCTCTGTTGGCTTTTGCTTTTTGCATTTTGGGATGTTCTCATTTGCCTCATTCTTAATGATGTCACAACTTTCAGTTCAGAGTTCTTCCGGCAGTTTGTTCGTCAAATTTAATCCATTCAATATATTCTTTACCTTCATAATCATATGAATGGAATATGGCTTGTTCCGATGATCTGATTTGATTTTATGAATTTCTAACTATGTTAAGTACTGTGACAGAATCCAGTATATACGTAAGTCAGCCCCCCCCCCCACACCCCCAAGTCTGTGATTGGGGCAGAATATAAATTTATCTGTTACAAAACTTTGCATTTTGAACCTTCTGTTATTTTATCTGTTTGACTTGCTACAAACTCGGGTTAAATAAGCAAAGTCTGATCCAGCTACAGGCTGCCAAGTTGGAGAAGGTGATTTAATCTCTTGGCAATCATTCTCCAGCAAAATGTTTGTACAGCCTTCCATCTTTTTGAGCAGAGATGCTTGGCAGCCGACAACAGTTTGCCAACCTTGGCTGATCACAAAAAGCTAAGCTGGGTCAGACTTGGTCAGCACTTGGACGAGAGCCTATCAGACAAGCCCAAACAGATTGGAAAGTCAGAAAAAGCCCCAAAGAAAGCAAGAGCAAACCATTCTGTTTGTTGCCAAGAAAACCACACAGACATGCCAAGGTATTCACCAGGAATCAGGCTTGGTTTGAGAGTCTTCATTTTTTAATTAAAAAAGCCATTACTTCTGGCTCACGGCTGACAGCCATTTCCACAAAAGCCAGCATCAGAACAGCCCATTCCTAGCTGTGAGCTGAAGAACTGACTTCTGTCTCCCTCCTTTCCTGTTTAGGTTGGCGACCACAAATTTAGCGCTCACCGGATTGTCCTGGCGGCCTCCATCCCTTACTTCCATGCCATGTTCACCAATGATATGATGGAATGCAAGCAAGATGAAATAGTCATGCAAGGCATGGATCCAAGGTAAAGGTTTTATTTAAATTTTTATATTTTATGTATTTATGGTTTTAATGTTTTGTGTGAGCTGCCCAGAGTCCTCCATTGGGGGGAAAAGGGCGTGGAGAAATTAAATAAACAAACAAACAAATAAATAAATAAATGCTGAGGATGTGGCCCTGATTTCGTCACCCCCTGGTGTGGACCCAATGGATTTCGCTTGTAGACCCATCAAAGGCCCCATCAACAGCAGTGTCTGAGCCCCTGTGGGCAAATAATTTGGCTGTGCAAAACAGTATTAAAGCTGTTTCTGTGTGGAGATGTGTGGAGATTGTGCGTGCCCTGGGGTTGCTGCTGTTTCTCAGGGTGTGCTCTGACAATGCTCATGTCCTGCAGTCTTGCCTTGCCAGATTTTACAGGTGAGTCCAGATGATCTCATCGTCCACTTATAAACATACGCACCCATACCTACGCCCGTGTGTTTTCCCACTCCTCCTTCCACCATTGCTCAGGAGGAAAAGTCAGCAGTTGCATCAAGGCTTTGGATTTGTTGCAAGAGGACGCCTCTTCCTGGAAGCATCAGATTGCTTCAGATGTTTTGACAAGGCAAAACAGTAAAAAATGGAAGAGGATTGGGTGTTTGTTAAGCTCTGTGAATCTGCTTTTTAGGAGCAGGGTTCCAGGGGAAATATCAGAATTTCCTATTAAGAGGTAACTGACAATTGCAGAAGAGTTTTGACTGCCAGCTTTCTGGGGTTTACAATCCATACATAGCAGCTGTCGCTTTCTAGTGTATTTGTACCATCTTAAGGACTGGAAGCGTGGTGTTCCGGTTATGGATGCTTGGAATCTGACAAGAGCCTCCAAGTTAGCAAAGAATTTGTCGGGGTGAATTCTCTGGCAGCACTCACACATATTTTGGATTGCTTGGGTTACTAAACCAGGTATCAACTTCTTTGCCCCATTCAGTGCACTGGAAGCTCTGATCAACTTTGCCTACAATGGACATTTAGCCATAGACCAGCAGAATGTCCAGTCTTTATTGATGGGGGCCAGTTTCCTGCAGCTGCAGAACATCAAGGATGCCTGTTGCTCTTTTCTCAAAGAGAGGTGAGTACAGGTATAAAGGCTCTGGACATTTCCAAACCCCTGGACCAAAAATATTGAAGAAGTTGATATTATTGCTTACAAATATAAGTCCAGCTAGGTGGCATCTTGCTTCGGTTGATCTCAAAAAACAAAAAGAAACCCTAAGCGAGGTCCAATTCTGGTTGGAACTTGGAAGGGAGTCCGTCCAGAAATCCCGGGCAGTTGAGCATAAATCATTAAGCAGGAAAGGTTCCTTGAGACCATCAAGTCCAACCCCTTGGACTCAGGACGGGAATCCAAGTGAAAACATCTCTGAAAGATGGCTCTGCTTGAATACAACTCACTTTGCTACTCTAGCCACATGGAATATACTTTTGTCTCAAAAATAATTATGTGCATTGAATCAAAATGTTACTTATTTATTTTTACACATTTCTATCCAGCCGCAGTCGAAAGCCTCTCAGCGGCTTACGTGGAACATAAAATACCCACGCTGCTAACTTCCATAAAAACAGCACCAAACAAAAGAATTCAAATGATAAAGATAGAAGTTAAAAATGGCGCAATACAGTTTGGGGAAGGCTATCCAAAATAACTCCCTCGTTTATTGCTTCCAAAACATCAATAAGGGTGGAGCTAAGCCTGACCTTTACTGGGAAGGTGTTCCCCAGTGTTGGCATTGCCCCCCAAAAGCACAGCTTTCTTGTTTCAGGCCCCCAAACTGCCTGAAAATGTAAGATCAGTAATAGTTTCTCCCTGTTTGATCTGATTGGTTGGGTTAGTAGTGTTTGGAGTCTTGCAGGTGTATGTGTCTAGGTGGCTTTTCTACAAATACCAGTTTCGGGGAAAAGTCAGTTATAATTTACATGGGCTATGAAAGTGTACAAATGTGGGTAAATAGAATTTTCTTAATTGAATTCGCCACTCTTTATCTTGCAGTGAAGCGTATAGTTAATTCATTTCCATTTCCTCTTTTCTCTCCATTTTAAAAGGAACAGTCCGGTTCGTTTTCATATCTCTTCTCTTTGGGTGGGAGGGCAGATTGGGTGTGTATCCATTTTTTTTTTCTGGGCCCTCACATCTCCGGAGTCAAGGGTCTCTGCCTTCTGCCAGAGGCTAAATTTGCAGAACCATAGAACGGAGGTCGCAAGACATCATCATTAGCACGCAAATCTTGCAGGTCTTTAGATGTCCTGTGCTATCCAGACTTTGTTCTGCCACTGATCAGGGGTATGCATAGATGAGATGGCTCCAGAGAACCCAAGAAAGTGAGCTGAGCCCCCGACAGCAGGAGGAGCAACTAGAATTTCTTGGACGCTATTTGGAGGCAAAATTTAAGTGCCGGCATCCCAACTGTATCTCCCTGAAAGTGTCTAATCATAATGCACTTTACCATTGGGACTGAAGGCAGATGACTTGGCATGGGGAGATAGTATAAAGCCGTTGTCCTTCATGGTTGCAGCTGTCTTCCTTTCCTCTGCAAACCCTGTTGCCTTCTTCTCAAGTTTGGAAAGACACAGGATCTCTGGAGTAAAGGTCAACCTTTGAAGATAAAATGATCAGTCAGTGCTTATCGTTTGGGGTTAAGTTTCGTAGGTGGATTGACGGTGGAATGTTGTCCAGGATGAAAGAAGAAATGTTTGTTCAGCAGGAGAAGGAGAATTGGAAGAATCAGAGGCCTTTCTGGAAGATTTTATCTCCTCTCACTCTCCTTTCCAGTATTGTCCTTTTCCTCCTGGTAGTAAACCCAAAGTGTGCACTGGGTAACTTTCACCCAGCCTTCCCAGCACCCAGCCTTTCCTTGAGCAAAACTGCTCGTGCATCTTCTTGGTACCCAGTGATAACCGTCCCATGCATGAGAAGGTCAGCCGGACAGAGAACGGTTGGCTCTCTTGACATTCTGGCTGGGGAAATTTCCCGCTCCCCGTGCAGGAGCACAGAGATAACCTTGACAAAGGCATGCCGGAGCCATTAAGGGAGGAAAAATGACAGTGGAGTCCTGGGAGAGGGGAAAGCATGAGAAAGAAACTCAAATAATGCGGCTGCCCCCCTTGGTTTGGCTTGGTATAAGAGGGGCAGGGGGAAACGATAACTCTGCTTTATTGAGATAAGCCTGAGCCAGTGGCTAATCGTACCTCCGTTCAAAAAAAAATCTGTTTTTTGCAACAGATTCTGAACGTTTCCCTCAAGGCTGTCTCCATGGCTCTTTAAAATAGCCCATCCTTTTTTCCTAAGTGTTCAGAACAGCTAGCAACCCTGTTAGCAGATAACCTGGTGACTAATCCGAAAACCATTAAAACAACGAACCTTTGTGGGAATGAATCATATGCCTTTACTGCAATAAGCGTTCCCCAAGTACAACCTCTTGACCCCTGAGGAGGAAGGGATGCGTGCCAGCCAGTCCTCCCTGGGCAGGAAAAGTTAAAGTGGGGAATCTGGGATTCCCAGGAGGGCCCATATTAGGTCCGGTCGTCTCAGCAGATGGCAGCACATGGCCGTTCTTCTCTGGGCTCGGAAGGTGAAGCGGGTCAGCCCAGATTAGCCTTTGGATAGGAGACCAGCAGGAAGCCTCACAGCAAAAGGATGCCTTTACCTCGTGCTCCGCTAATGTCTGTCTCCTTCACCCCTTAGGAATAAATCACAGCCAAATATGGGCTTCCCGGGTGGGGGGCTGTTTCCATTAATCTGCGTGTCGACACTTAATTTGGAATTTGCAGGACAGATACCAAAGAAGGAAAACACTAAGGGAGACACCAGGATGGTAATAAACCTTGAAAAAAGTTTATTAAGAAATCGCCCCTAAATACTTACAGCGTCAGGAGGATACAATCCCAAACGGCCGGGCGAGCCCGAACGGCGTTCTCTACTCATGAGGAAGCTGGGGGAAAGGGGTAAAATTTACAGCTCTTTTCCCCGCTCCCTCACCCTTTGGAATCCTCACCTCTGTTCTGGGATTAGTAGCAAGTGGGAATCAATGTTTGTATTTACATTCGCTGGAGGGGAAGAGAGAGTCATTGCAGTGGAGAATACACCTTGGGGCCGCTTCAGATAGCCAAGGAAGCCTTTAGGGAAACTGAGTAAGGTTTGGCCAACTGCAGATAGCAGCACAAACTGGCGGGAGGGTGTTCTCAGGGGAGGAGAAAACCAATCTGCTCTGCCAGGGAGAAAATCTTCCAGGAGGGAGAAGGAACATGGGTCAGACAGTCGGACACAGGGTGGGGCTGATCTGCTCTCTGTTATGCCAGCTGTCCAAGGCTGCCTCTGCTCTATCCTGGGGATTTGGAGTGGGGGGCATTGGTTGTCAGAGGGTTGGGCAGGCCAGATGTTTTCCAGTGGTCCCGCTAATCCCTGTCCTCCTTGAAGGCTTCACCCCAAGAACTGTCTGGGCGTGCGCCAGTTTGCCGAAACCATGATGTGCGCCGTCCTTTACGATGCTGCAAACAGCTTTATTCACCAGCACTTTGTGGAGGTTTCGATGTCGGAGGAATTCTTAGCTCTGCCCTTTGAAGATGTCCTGGAGCTGGTCTCAAGAGATGAACTCAACGTGAAGTTAGAGGAGCAGGTACGTCCCCTTCTTTCACTCCCTTTCTTTGGCGGACTGCCCCAGCCCCTGAAATACGCCTCATTTTTTATAACAACGGAGACAAGAAAGATAACTGAGTGAAGTGATCTGATACCTGTGAGAGATTGTGGGGAGGCTGGGAAAGGAATGGAAGGGAAACAAAAGGGGAATGTGTTGGCCGCTGATTTTGTAAACCTTAACTAAGTCCAGGTGGTGAGAAACCAGAGAAGGAAGGATTCAAAATGCTTTTGAGAGTTTCCACCTTAGTTAACTCACTATAAATGAAGCTGGGAGATTCCTTTTGCAGTTTCCAAGATTCTGTGTTTATCCCGGACTAAAAAAAGAGAATTTCCTGAAATCCGTGAAGTTCATTCTTCCTTGGTCTTGCCCAGCTGCACGGGCCTTGACAAGATCTTGCATTCAGCACAAGGACAACAACAAAACAAGATTCCAGATGTTGTGCAATAATTAATTTGGGAGAGGGAAAGAAAAAAAAAACTTTTCCAAAGCAGAAAGTTTTAAAACAATGGCAGAAAATAATCAGAGAGAGAATCTGGCTTCCTGGTATAGGAATGCTAAATCTTGGCACAGGGATAGATCAAGGCCCCATGAGTAAGAGAACAAGGCTCCGAGCGATGTGCTTCAAACATCTAAATGTATCTGATGCCTCTTAAGCTCAGGGCCTACCTAAAATAGAGCCACGTTAAGAGGTTTTTGGAATAGAGCTTCCAATCCCTCTTTTACTCGTAGGCTTGGTGTACGTACCCAAAAGAAAATAAAGAAAGGTGATCCAAGGGAAGGGGCTGCATTAACAGAGCTCCTTCTGCTGGCTGCCAGTCCAAACCCCAGGGCTGTGCTCCTCACAGTCTCTTTAAAAGCTTCCAGAGACCAATTCTGTGAATAATCTCTCTGAAACACACCAACAAGGTCTTGTAGCGGGAAATGCCTCCTTGGATCATGATACTTAGCTGTGTATTCTTCAGTGTCACTTTTCTTAATCTAATAATTCATGTTTCGTGTTTGGAGTAGTTGACCCGGAGAGAGAAAGCGTGGGCTGGTCTGATTTCCTCTCAAGTGTTCCCACGTTGTAAGGTGTCTAGTTTTCAGTTGGAGATGTCTCTTCTGAGAGGGTCCATTTGGATTAAATCTTTTCTCTAGTTTCCCAGGAATGGAATTACCCTTGCACACTACATTCTTCTTTGCCAGAGGTCTGTGTTTTAAGAAGCCCATCCTGAGCCTTTCCCACATTCTGGAACGCTCTGGTGCTTCAGCCACTGGATGCTGCTAGATTTAACTCTGGATCTGCCAGTCACACAGGGGTTCCTTCTCTTTCTTCAAATAGTTAATTCTCTTAGTAGGTCATAACCCTGCACTTCAGCAGCCGTTGGCCAAAGGGAATTTGAAGCCTGTCTACGCAGCTGCTGAAGTGAAATCCAGGTCTAATTTAGCAGGGTCAGCCCTTTGAGTAGACCAGGCCAGGAAACAGGATCTGCAGAAGGACTGGGACTCTACTGAAATGGGCTACAGTAAGAGAATCTTGCCAACCTGATGGTGCTTTACCTCCCCTCCCTCTTATACCCCAGGGAATCAGGGAGGCACCAGTCTGAGTCACTTCCGAATACAATCTTGCTTCCCAGGACATAAAGAACGTTTCAGCCCTTTTTGTTCATATAACGGTTCTTGCCTATTTCCCTCAAGGTCATCCCCTTGGCTGACATCAAATAAGGTTCCCAGTGTGATCTGTATAGAGTGGTGTTGCTCAACCTTGGCCATTTTAAGATGTGTGGACTTCATGATGGCTGGGGAATTCTGGGAGTTGAAGTCCACACATCTTAAAATGGCCAAGGTTGAGAGAGACTGGTGTAGAGCATAACCTGTCTTGAGCTTCCTGCTCTCTTCCATCAGGTCTTTGAAGCTGCCTTGGCCTGGATCAGGTATGACCGAGAACATCGGGAGTCCTGCTTACCGGAGCTCCTCTCCAAAATCCGCCTGCCACTTTGTCGGCCTCAGTTCCTCACCGACCGCGTGCAACAGGATGACCTTGTCCGCAGCTGTCACAAGTGCAGGTGAGTGTGGAGAAGGGGGCAGGTCGTCTTGTTCATCTGCAATACTGGAAAAAAAGGCGAGGAACGCATGAAACCGTGGACACCCGCAGCACGAAATCCTCAGAATCCACCCCACAGGGAAAGCAGGAGTTTTCCTCGAGGTGTGTAAAGGAATGCCGAGCTGACCTTGGGGAAGGTATGAGAGAGCCCTTGAGGGAGAAGGAAGGAGTGAACCATCAGGGGAACCAGATGATCCTGCTACTTTAGGCTGTAGAAGGAAGGTCTTGGCCACAATTCTCTGTCAATGCCTTGTACTTTTTCAGTTTCTTAAATTCACGGCAGGGAACAAGGCCCCTTTCCTCCCATCGTCTCAGAAGCCCTGTTTAGCCCCTCTGCCCCAATTCTGGACTCCTTCAGATCTCAGAGGTGGCTTTTACATTTCATGGTTGCCCACCCCCCAGGGAAAGCCTCTTTGCACAGCTCCCGGAGTCACCTGCAAGGAGCTTTCACGGGGTCTCAGCCAAACTTCCAGCCATCAGATGTGTGAAATAGCTTCCGTGGAGCAATAAGGTTTTCATGGTGAAAACCACCGGCTGTCATGTTTTGAGCCTGGCCATATAGAAATAAATAAAATGCAGCCCAGAGAACGAGAGGCAGTCAGAGATCATGCCACTGTGGCTACAGCTTGCTTAGAATAACCCATTACTTTTGCAGCCCAGCCAAAAGGGAAGGACAGGGTGGGTCTGATTTGCACACATATTGGCCAGTGGGTGTTCTTTCCCTGTTACGCCACCCCCGCTGCCCAGAGCTTTCTTAAGGAAAGATGAAAAGCTCTGGATGAGTTTCTGATTGGCACCCTCCTTTCTAAAATGTGCGGGTCATCGCTGAATTTTGCACTTGTTAGAAGGCAGACTTGCAAGCATGAAGGCATTCTTGGTGATAAAGTCCTCTATGCTCTTAAGAGCCTTCCACAAGGGGGGGGCGGATCCAGCTATGCTGTGCCCCCTCCCCACCATCATCCTCCACTAGTACAGCCAAAGGAGGATGTCCAGCATAAATGGAGACCACCAGTTTGGGAAAAGGACCTTCTGTTAGTAATGGACCTTCTTGTCCATGTGAAATTTGCCATTAGTGGGGGCCGTCTGCAAATGAGTACAGTTGTGTATAAAGGAACTCTGATTCTAAAACCAAACGTGATGGGAACTTGAATGAATTTCCTTACATTTCACGACCTACTGTCCTTCTGTTTGCTTTGAGAGTTCTGGAGTTCATCCAGGGTTCACTACAGGAAGTGTGTGCCTCAGCTTTCCTTGACCTTCAGTGAAGATTTCTCTAGGGCAGTGTTTCTCAACCTTGGGAACTTTAAGATGTGTGGACTTCAACTCCCAGAATTCCCCAGCCAGCATGCTTTAACATATGTGGACTTCAACTCCCAAAATTCCCCAGCCAGTGGCTGGCTGGGGAATTCTGGGAGTTGAAGTCCACAGATCTGAAAGTTTTTAAGGTTGAGAAACACTGGTCTAGTGATACACTGGAATTTTCACAATTATTTACACAAGCTAAACAATTCAGTGGCTTTAATTTAAAAGCTAAAGCATTCAGCATGCTGAGATATTTGTTCCTGGGCTATGCCATTATGGTGATGTTGTTGTTATTCGCTACTGCTCTTCCTTCCAGGCGAGCCCAGGGCACTTTAGAAAAGAACATGGGAATTATCTTACATGAAATCCATCAACAATAAAACCAGCAATCCATAAGAGCAAAGAAATGCAAAACTGAATGCAAGGTTTATGCTTAAAAAAATCATTTAAAGGCAGGTGGTTGGAAGTTATAAACACTCTTCATATACGGTGAGATGCTAGTATTTCTGAATTTGCATATCTGTATTTTAAGTCATGAGGCACCCTGCTTATGCTCTCCCATATTCACTGATGCTTTAATTCGATTCCTGCACAGAGTAGGGCTGGTCTTGATGGTCTCAAGAGCTCCTGCTAACTCTAAGGTTTTATGAACGGAACTGAAGGCAGTACATGTGGTGCATTTCCTCTTTGTGTGTTGGGGGGGTCCTTTAACCTGATGAGAGTTGGGTGTCCCCGTTCTGGCTCCGCTTTGTGGAGAGGCTGTTGCTATCAGAGTCAGTTCCCAGGTTTTGGAGCCCATTATGTCAAGGGCCAGTCAAGGGCCAGCCACAGGCTTCCCTGTTATCAGCAAAGAGACCTGCCTCCTTGTGGATCACAGGAAGGCATGAGAAAGGAAGTCAGGGAGTCTTTGCCCCAGAGGACCTTGGCCTAGTTTGGTCCAAAACGGGAACTCGTTCAGTTCCTAGAATTCTGCCCACTGCCTCCCGTCCATCTCAGCGGATCTTGCTAAAGCGGCTGTGCGAGAGTCAGGCTGGGAAAAGTATCCCCTTTGCCTTCGGCACCGACCCTCGCTATGCAGCCATGACCAAAGCTACAGACCAGCAAGATGCCTTTGAGAAACTTTGCCAGGAGGGGGCGGTTTCTGTTCCGGGCTCACGGACTGTCCTCTTCATGGCTCAGCCTTTGCTTTCCAGGGACCTCGTGGACGAAGCGAAAGATTACCACCTCATGCCGGAGCGCCAGCCGCACCTCCTGGCTTTCAAGATGCGCCCCCGTTGCTGCACCTCCATCGCTGGCTTGATCTATGCTGTGGGAGGACTCAATTCGGCAGGTACCTTTCAAGTCCGTTGCCTGTTGTGCTCAGTATGCCATAAAAACGTGGGACGCCATCTCTTTGGCAGCCCCCGACCTTAACGGGGCTGGAGGCTCGCTGACCACAGCATCTTCCCAAGGACCCTCAGGAATTCGAGCCCAGCAGGAAAGCTGGGAATTTTCGGCACACAGAAGCTTCCCGTGGGGAAAGGGAGCTAGGGTTGTTGGGCCAGTAACCCACGCAACTTGATCTCTGGCATTACTTAGCTCAGATTGTTGTTGTTGTTATTATTTTTTTTATTATTATTATTATACCAATTTATATAGCCGCCCATCTCACCACAGGCAACTCTGGACGTGTACAACAAAGCTAAAAAACAATCAATACATTAAAAAAAATAAAAATAGAATGGAGAATAAAAGGATGTTAACAATAAGGGAGCCCGCTCACTAATTCCCCTGTCCCTTGGGGCCCCCAGGCCTGCTGGCATAACCAGGCCTTAAGGGACCTCTAAAAGCTCAACAATGGCGTGGCCGACCTCACCTGAGAGGGGAGAAGATTCCACAGCGCGGGCACCACAGCAGAAAAGGCCTACCATCTAGGGCAAATTTAAGATGCGTGGACTTCAACTCCCAGAATTCCCCAGCCAGCATATGCTGGCTGGGGAATTCTG